ACATTCATAAGATAACTTTAGATAAGACTGTATTTGGAGTGATTTGATGTTCTTATCAGCGCTAAAAAAAATATAAGCAAATTAATATTTTGGTAAACAATCGCATTTTTTGCATATTATGGTTTTGTTTGCTTGTTTTTCTTATGATATCCATTGACAACATAACTAACAGTAGCGTATCAAAATTCTGTAAAGTAAAAAAAACATCAAAATGGGTCGTCTTCTAGCTGTTCTAGTTATGAAGAGGCTGAAAGATTCTTAAAATAAAAACGCGACATCAAAGAGACTTTTATTTGTAGAACTAAAAATATCGTCAAAACGTCATCATAACATTCTTATCTTCACTTCACTGAACATCAAAATCTACAATCGCTACCAAATTTTATTTCAGTGGCTGCTTCATATCTTATCACAACAAATCAGGCCTTGAACCAATTGTTCAAAAGGGTACACTATGTACTCAAGATTTCGGCGAGGGAATATTTCGACCACCACCTGAAAACGTACATTTTGACTATATTGCAGAGTGATATTATGCGTCCGTGAAATAATCACACTCCGGGCTCAATACTTTTTACAGCTTTATGTATTCSGCRAGTTTCAGATAGTTTATTYACACAAGGTCGTATCTTTCTCATCAGGATTATTTTGTTGCGCTAATAGTATAAGCGAAGACATTTGGTATGTGACAGCACATCTTTGCCATACCGGCTGAACTTCCGATTCAGACTCGGGAACTCAGGCTGCGTATAAACGTATCCGGATATTTTTAAAATCACATTAATAACCATCTACAGAGGTTCTTGGAAGGGAGATGTTTTAGAGACTTCGTATGAACTATATATGGCACCAACTGTAGTCGTGATCTCTCTCAAAYGTCGTCACAATATATTTGATTGGCAACGTCATTTAACACAAGAGGTAAACACTTCAAACACTTATGCAAATCAGATGTGAACGCAATACTTGAAGATATTTTCAGAATCCAGAAWCTAAAATAGACGTTGATAATTTCTTGATGTTACATAACAATTTTTGTAATTGCACGGTTTCGGGTGTATAAACATATACAATGTATAATCATAGTTATTAACTATGGTATAATGCATATTATAATCCGGCAAATCTTAATCAAATTCCTAATTGTTAACATATTTTCTAGGTTATGCGCTCAAGACAAAAAAAAAAATTAAAAAAAGATGCATACTAGAGGTTCTGTCAGCAGGAAGGCTTGCGTGAATCATTTTTAGACCGAGACGCAATCAGAGACACTAAATGCAAGTTTCCAAACTTGCGACAAGAATTGTGAAACTGTATTTTCGTCACCTGAAAGTTGCGGAGGGTCAAGTTCTAGGTTCAGTTCGTGTCKAGTGAAAACCTTACGAAAGCAGGAGCATTCCGCTTTTGGTCGCGAATACTCTGTTACTTCAGTGATGTCAATGAAGAGGGAGCTGTCGTAGCGACCTGCCAAACTACGGAACCTTCGTGTTTTCTTGTGTCGCACCATAAAAACTTGCTTCCACAACTCCTCCTTGATTTCAAAGGGTCGTTTCTGCTTCTTGGCTGTGTTTGAAGATGGCGCAGTGGTTTTCATTATGTCCACGWACACTTCATACTCGGTGTCAAYAATTTCATTCTTGTTCAAGGAACGTCGCGATTGTAGWAGAAATCGAATGTCACTCTCTGTTCCGTCTTCTTGGGTGGCKTTRGGGCTCCKTGACCATCGTCGTTTGACATCAGTAACGCTCCATCTCAAGGGCGTAAAATTAAGCTCTTGGAAACAAAGGGCGCCATCAAATTTAAGGGAGAAGTCGTCGCCATCTGTTTGTATGTGAACATTGTAGCATTCATACGATTCTCTTTCAGTAAACCCGTGWCGCTGGAAAAACCAGTTTACTGCCTCGCTTGATTTKACTGTCGTGAAATACGAGCTTCTGCACGGCTTCTCCTTTGGTTTCTTGTTCTTTTTKTCATTTTGGGATTCTTCTTGCTTTAACTTTTTCTTCCTTGATCGTCGCTTCTTTTTCCTTCTTGTGGCGCCAGAGTGAGTGACTACTAAATCATCTCGAGGTTTATTAGCCCTTGTTCGAGYTGCTTTGCAGTCTCGGTTGAGGTTTGCTTGTARCATTTTGATAGTTACCGCTTCGGGATCTTCAATAAAAGACTTGGGGASCCGAAAGATGTAAATGCGGCCAAAATGTACYACGAATTCTAAGACACCGTGTAAAGACTCCTCGTGATCTCGCGAAACCAATGCAAATTGAGTGATGAACTTCTGTTTGAATGAGTTGTACACATGGTTTGAAGTTTGTCGRTCTCCTCTTGAGGGTGCCGACAACACGGGGRTATAWAGACGCGTCCCGTCATGCTGAGGGTGATGAGAGGAGTGGTAAGGATTGAACGTTACAACGTCGTTGTTGCTGGAAGAGCCTGTAATCAATAGAAATCTCTTGGTAAATGATATAAGCTAGAACGCTAAATATAACACTATAACAGAGTTACTTTCTTATGGTATAGAGACAGCACTTCTCAAACTGTAGTACATTGATAAAACAGAAATTATAAAGCTTCATTGGTAGCACTGTAAG